AGGGGAGAGCTGTTTTTTTTCTTTGGGTTTACTGGGGGGATGGCTCAGCTGTGGATTTATGCTGCTTCTGCCCAGGATTTTTCTCTCTGATTGGGAGCAAGGATTGTGGAAACCATGTTGGGACGAGGTTTATTTTCAGAATCCATCATGAAACTTTGCAACTAACTCACTGTTTTCAGCTCCCTTTCATATTTTTTTTTTCTCCCCTTTTTTCTTTTTCTTCTCTCCAATGTCCCTCTGTGCTGCTGGGTTGTGGGCCAGAGGAGGCTGTTTCTATATGGCCAGCCATTTGGGGATATGCTGCGAGCCAAGGTTGTTTGCTGATTCGCTTGGCTGTGGTGACAAGTTGGCCTGTTGTGAATCGGATGGACGGAGGTCGCTCTCAAGGAGCCATGGCTGGAAGCTGGCTTACGGCTTGCTTTTTCCCTTCCCCAGGTGCTGATGCTAGCTCTGAACCCATGATCCTGGAGCAATATGTGGTGGTGTCCAACTATGAGAAGCAGGAGAACTCCGAGATCAGCCTCCAGGCTGGAGAGGTCGTGGATGTCATAGAGAAAAATGAAAGCGGTAAGACACACTTGCTGCTTTTCTCCCTTCCAATGGTCCGATTTTTGCATGTGTGCCTCTTCTTTCGGTTTCCTCATCACTACTTGTAGCTGTACGTTAGCTCCATCTGGTACAGTTACTATGTCTGGATGTTAAAGTTTCTCAATGTTGATTTGGGCTGGGGGCCAAATGTTGCCTTCTACTGTAAGAATGTTTCATAGGTTTTGTGTGTTAATTAGCCAAAGTGCGCTAATGGAAAATGAAGGTGAAGGAGAGAAGGATCTGCAGCTAATGAAGCTGATGTATGGTAGACTGACATAGTTACACTGCTGTCTCTTTAAGTCTCTGTCAGCATTTCCATTACTAACTCCCTTTTTGGAGGATTTATAGGATGAGTGTTTAAAAATTGCTTGGGATGAAACTTGGCTTGACAGCTTAGCCCGTGGCCCAGAGCTTGGTAGGGAGGGGAGAGAATGTGCGTAGATAAATACGTGGTCATGCAGAGTTTCAAAACTTCTTGCAGAAGTGTTAATTGGGGAATTTTGAGGCAAGGAGACAGACTGTCATGTAAAAGCAAGATGAAATCCCTTCTGCCATCAGTGGAACAATCAGCTTCCACTTGAAAAATGGAATTTTTGGCAAGTGTTTGTATAGATGTCTTTTGTGTACTTTAACTCTTGGATGCCTGGTAGCTTTGAATCAGGCTGAATAAACGCAGGAGTCTGTGTACATGTGAGTGGTTGGAGCTGGTTAGCAGCTGGTTTGAATAACTGCCTGTCTTCAGCAGCTCCCCCTCCTCCCCTCCAGCACTCCTTGTGTATTAATCCAGAGCTGTTGTCCAGGACTGGTTTCCAGCCCACTCGTGACTTGTGTGTCCTCATCCAGAAGAGCTGCTGGCATTTAGAGCCATTCAAGCGAAGGCTCACATCGTGGTACTTCCCCATGCGGGCTCTCACGATGGCTGGCTCTGGAATGAGCTGGGCATGCCAGAGCTTGGGGGAACCAGGGCACCCTGGTCTGGGACTCAGATCCATCTTCCAGAGCTCTGAGTCAGGTTATCCACAATGATGACCATGCATTGGATGGTTTTGTTTTGTTTTTTTCTTCCTTTAATGGAGTCGTAATTTCTTTGCTGTATGAGAGCCTAATGCTTGTTTGGCTCAGTGATGCAGTCAGTTGCTGGCTGGTGATTTAGTGTCGTCCAAAAGGATAGTGTGTGGAAATGCACTGGCTAGTGTGAACAGAAATGCCTGTCTCCTGGGTACTGACTGTATCACTTGCAAAACTAGTAGTGGCCAAAATGCTTATCTGCCTTACTTTAAAGCAATCATTATGATTGAAGGGGAAAAATATCTTAACTTAACCTGTGTCTCGGTTAGTGGACAAGCATCCTCCCTTCCAAGCCTGAGGACTCCTCATTGTCAATAGCAGGTGTTTCTGCTGTCAGAACAAGCCTGTTTATTGCAGCAGCTTACATTCATATCCATGATATCCCTGTCTTGGATAATGGCTTATGGAGCCAAGGGAATTGGGCTGTTAAATAATGCAAGCAGTGTGTGAATTCCAAATTACAGTTCCTTTGTGTGTTCTTTTAATGTGGCCTCTCTGCCTTGCACAGTTAACACTGTATTGTATTGAACCACGTGGTATGTGGAGATATAAATGGAGAGTGTAAGGGTTTGAATTTAATTAGTGAGTCCAGAAATGTAACTCCTCTCAGGAAACATCCAAATTCAAGGATTACAGTTTTTAAGACCATATTCTGATGCTTAGCAGCCAGATTTCTTAATGTCTATGTGAACAAGGAAGGAAACCTGAAGCCCTGAACTCCATGCTGTGATTTTGGCCATATATATATGTATTTATTTAGATATATACACACACATATATATTAAAAACAAGATATATCTATATATTAAAAAAAATAATAGTAAGTCACAGATTGGTGATGGAGAGAGCATCATTTGCTTCGGATGCTTGTCTAAACTGTTCTGGAAAGGAAATCATGTTTTAGCTATTCCAAGAACAGGGCTACAGACAGTCTCACTTTCTCCTAGGTTATGGATACCACAGAATTACTTTAATGCTATGACGACTTGTCTCTGAACCTACAAATGGCATGTAATGAAATTAGCAAAAGTTTCTCAAGTGTCAGCTTTTAAAACTCGTGAGTTATTGTTTGAATTTGGGTATCTGCTTAGTGTAGGCAAACAAGCCTAGAAGATGTGGTTATGACTTCTAAGAACATGGGGGTATACTTTTCAAGAAAATAAGATTATTTGACTGTGCATGTGTAGTAATTCATTGGACTGTATGGTTATGTGGACTCAATAAGTGTTGTGAAACTATAGCTGTGATTGTATAAACTAAGCTTGTTCTTCTCCTGATCCAGACAGACAAAGGTGATGTAAGGTGTTACCGATGTCACCTACAGCTGGGACAGTTTCTTCAATGAAAGGAAGGAAATATGGCTAGGCAGCATTTTGGCTGCATGGCTGAGAAATCCCATCAGACTGGACAATGCGCATTGGATGCGCTGGGCCAGTATCTCAAACTTCCTTGTGTATATACGTGCATATAGTATATCATATGTCTGGTTTGGGTTTTCTTAGCTGTATTTTAGGGAAGCTAGATATGAAAAGGCACAGATGACTGCTTGATTTTTAAAACCTTGCCTGAATAGGGTTGCTTGCTTAGGGACAATTAATGGTTCTTTTGTTTCCTGGAGTGGGGAAAAACCCTAACTTGGCTCTGTTGCATGGCTTTGTAGGGAAGAAACGCTTTCTCTTTACTGATCAAATGTCCCTATGCTTTTCACACAAGGAAGCTCAAACCTCATTTCCAAACAATGGTGCCTGCTTCATGTCCTGCTGGATGTTTTCTTCTGAACACTTCTAAGACCTGAGCTAGAGTTACCATCTTCTCTGTTTGCCTCCAAATTGTGTACCCCTCAAAAGGAAGTAAGCTCTGCTTTCAAAGGCCAGTGTATAGGGCAGAGGTAGAAGGAGGGGAAAAAAAACAACTGGTATTTGATTTATTGAAGTCTTATCTGGTTATCATCAAGCTACGTTAACTTCATCTTAAGTGTGTCGCATTTACTGTATAGTATTATTCAGTGTTACTTTTCCCATTTAAGAGATGGTATTTAAGGCGTCTCACAGACAGATATGTGCAAGCCCATTTACTAGGACCTTGTCTCACACTTAGTTTTCTCCTTCACAAAAAGAGTTAGGTAAGGTTGTCTTCATTATTGTGCCAGTGAAAGTTATGAGTTGGACATAATTTGGAGTTGAAACTTCTGTTCAGTATTATGACTTATAGGCTATACTGACCTTGCTTTTGTGGTGACTAATTTCTGAAACCCTTCATCTTGGTTATGAAGCCCATGGGTCACTGTAACCTCACTGTTGTTGCAATTGCCACAGAAGTAAACCTTGCTAGACTGGAAGAAATCTGAACTTCTATACTTCAGAACAAATTATTTAGTAATGTATGAGCTCTGAGACTTTGGCACTTGGTTTTTGCAGCAAATAGCTATCTTGACTCAACAAAAATTGTCCTTCAGATGTTCATTCTAGTTACATGAGCAGAAGACCCACAGTGTGCCTAATGTATCGATGGATGTTTCTTTCTTTCTGTAGCTGAGGAGAAAAATCTGCACATAGCAATGGTCACAAATGCATCAGGAGAAAAACGGAGGTTTACAGTCTCTACAGATGGTGTCTGGGAACAGGCTGTAGTTTACAGGGCTTGTGTTCCTTGCTAGAAGTGACTGTGATTTGTTTAAAAGCACTGTGTAACCAACCTGTACTGTCCAGCACTATCTAAACAGTTCTGAGCTCTTTTGGAATAACAATGTGAATAGTTGACTCCAGTCTTCTCTGTCAAGTACATAGGCTTCTTTTAAACCTTAACCAAAAAAGCCTTGTGGAATGCCTTAATTATATTTCTGCTGCAGAAAAAAAATGTTATGACTTTAAAGCAGGAATCTGACATAGATTTCTTTAAGGTAGAAGGGGGAGGGACTGAGCCACAGCAGCTCCCTCTCCGCCAAGTTTTGCATGGATGTGGCTTGAAATGGTCAAGCTATAAACTGTGGCGGCAGTGTTTGCAATGGAAAAACCTGACAGATGGTAAAGTATAAGTGTACTCCCGAGCACCTCTGCCTCTGCTGCTTCTCTGCTCGCTGGCAGGATGGGTGCTCTTCCCTTGCAGCCTCAAGGAGCTGTATCTGGTGGAGGCATCATAGGACAGCGTTTTCAGCTGGGCTGAGCAGGACTGTACCCATTTCCTTTGCAATTACATAACTGCAGACCAATTTCCAGTATTATATTACACGCAATACGTAAAGCAAAGCTATTATGGCTAGCATAACTATCAGGACCCAAAGGGATCTCTGGGAAGGGAGGCTGCTCTTCTCTCCTTTGCTGGCATGTGGGGCATGGCACTGAAGTATCACTATAAGCAAGGTCTCTGCTCATCTGGGTGCCCTGGTTTAGGGGTCTTGGGACTTGCTGGTTGTCCACACAGTGTCAGGAGATTCGTGTGTGTGCCTGGCAAAGTGCTTGGCTATGCCATTTGGTTTCACTTGTGCTGCTCACTGGCTGCGGTCGTGATCTAGGAGAGGGATATAGAGAGGCCATGGCTCTTTTAAGACTGACTCCTGTGAGTGCACTGCAAACTCCCTCCCTCTTCTTAGATTGAGAGCTTTTTGAGTTAGGCTTCTGCCTCTTCATGGGGAACACAGTAACCTTTATTTGAAGGTGTTGCTTTCAAGGGTTAAGTAAGGGGGTTTATTTGGTACCAAATCGGGCCAAGATTGCTTTCATGGTTAACTACTCCATCTTGGCTAAAGGTGCACTCTTAAAGTGTTTCAGGTAGAAACAGCAAAACATGGGGTTTTTTTTTGCAACTCATGGATCAGTCTTTCATCCCTATATCCCCTCTGCCATGCCTGTTTTTTGCAAGTAGTATTGATTTTTCGTCCCCTTTCTTTAGCACTGGTGAGGTTTTTGTTTTGA